GGTGGCGGTGGTGCTCGGTGGTGCTCGTCCGCCTATCTGCAGGGGCGATCGGCCCCCGCCGCCGTTCCTTCCCGATGCTGGCCCGGCGACCTGTTGGAGTGTTGAGATGCTGAGGACCTCGCGCCCCGGAGCTTACTTTCTTTCCGACTGTGCGGCTTTGCTGACCTCAGAGGCTTTTTGGGGTTTCCTCAGAGTGTCCTGTGACTGCGAGCTATGTGGAGTGACGCGCAGTGGGCTCTCAAGTAATCGTGGAAGCCCGGAGAACAACTTTGCAAGATAACAGACAATGCCCTGGAGTGGATGCACAGTGCGCCCTCAGGGGAGCTAGAGGCTGCGGGGAAGATCGCCCTCGCCGATGTAAATGAGCCTTCCCACGTGTGACCCCCCAAACCTGTCAGCAGCCCCGAGACCAAACCCCCCGTGTTACAGAAGTTTCGCATCCTTGGCGGGAGTGCTTGGGGCGCTTTAGGCTCGGCTCTCATTTTCCCCACTGGGGCGTGACTGGGGAGGGAAGACACAGCTTGTACCTTCCGGGACGTTTGTCTCTAACTGATGACAGACAGTCTTCTCTTCCTGTGACCTGTGAAGTGACTGTGCCCTCGGTCCAGTAGTTTTAGATTTCATAGATCCAGCTTCCTGTATTGACGTTCTACTCTTACCGTCTGTTGTAATCGCGCTAGAAAGTTAACTGAGCAGCTCAGCTTTTAGGCACATCGAGTGAACGGAGCTGCTCTAGGAACTGATTGAAACAGACTACTATTTTCTTAGCCTAGCTCATCTTTTCTGTTAGATTACTAAAACATTCGCATACATAGCTTTCTTGGCAGACTGAGGAGAATTTCTCGGATAGACAAGGATTTTCTTAGAAATTAAGTCGGGGAACTATCCTATCAGATATTTTTTCCTGTAGCGCTTTGTTGCTCTTGGAATTTACTAAAACGCTGTGTAGCTCTCGATTCGGGTCAAACGGTGTGGGCTGGAGAGAGATGTGCAGAAAGGGGCATCAGAGAGAAGTGTGGTCGGCTTGGTGTTGATTGCAGCTTTCTGGTGTTCTGAACTGACTTTGGAGTGCAAGTTAACTTTCAGGGTATCACCTTCTTACTAGACAGTACTCCCTGAGCCTAAGCACACACAGGTTGCAAGTCCTTTACAGCCTTTGTTTGCTTGGTGGTCCTATTATTTTTTTCATGGGTTAATGAAAAACTTAAGCTTTCCTTCAAGCAGTTCTGCCCCTGCAGAAATGTTGCAGTTTAACATGTTGCTTATGAAGGCTGTAGCTTGAATAATCCGTACCTGAAGGCAGTGACCGGTGTCAGGTGCAGTGCTTCAGAGAATGGCAAGTCAGAGCCTTTGAGCAATATGAAGGGGAGCGGGAAGCTTGAGGGCTTTGTTTTTTTCTTTTCAGTTTGTTCTAATTAAGTTCAGGCATTTCGTTTATTTCAATTCACTGATGTATCTCAAGCACCCACCCGGCGTGTGACCTGCAGTAACCTACAAATGTGACTAAACATTTCAGTGAGTAAATGAAAAGCAATGCTGTTAAACAGTACCCATCTGCCAGTCACACGTCTTAAGGAAGTGAGGTCAATAGGGATGGAAGTCACTCCTGTCAGTCACCTGGCCCAACAGCAGCTGTCTGTGTGGGAGGGGTGGATAATGTCACTGTTGGTTCTAGCAGACTAAATCAGTTGGGCATTTCAGCGAGCTGGCTAAGGATGAGATAGGCTAATAGGGCTGTCTCAGTGGACCATTTTGGAGTCTAGAGTCATCTATTCTGAGTAATGCCTGTATACCCTCGTTTTTGAGCACAGTGAAAATTGAGGCCCATGGCGAGTCAATGGGAAATATATCAATTGCATCATTATTTTCTGAGAAGAAATGAGGAACCCAATTTTATTGTGTATTTGGGTTTGCCCAAAGTGGGTTATGCTGTCATTAGCCTTGTGTTTGGCACTTCAGGGTGGTCTCCAGCTAGGGTAACGCCTCTTCCAGAAGCAGGAGAGTCATTCACACTGCATTATTTGGGTATGAGTAGTTCTGACTTTAAATTTAAAGGAAATAAGGGATATGTGTTTTTGAACCTGAAGATGAGGTTAAAACTATTAAAATTTTATAGATCTGTTTTTGACCTCTGTCTTCTCCTGTCTTTGCCCAACTGATGCAGGCTGAGTGTTCATTCCAGCATGTCGGAAGGGGAGTCCCAAACAGTAGTCAGCAGTGGCTCAGACCCAAAGGTAGAATCCTCCTCCTCAGCTCCTGGCCTGACTTCAGTGTCACCTCCTGTGACCTCTACCACCTCAGCTGCTTCTCCTGAGGAGGAAGAAGAAAGTGAAGATGAGTCTGAGATCTTGGAAGAGTCACCCTGTGGTCGCTGGCAAAAGAGGAGGGAAGAGGTAAGGTGATGGCAGTGGAGTTGTAAACAGTGAGAACCGGAGTAGCTGTCCAGGGGAACAGACCAGACCTGAGTAGGGTGGGGTTGGAAGATGGTCATATGCAATACTAAAATGGTGGGTTTGTGAGGTGACTTAATTCCACTTGAACTGCTTCTCAGGTGAATCAGCGTAATGTTCCAGGTATTGACAGTGCATACCTGGCTATGGATACAGAGGAAGGTGTGGAGGTTGTGTGGAATGAGGTACAGTTCTCTGAACGCAAGAACTACAAACTGCAGGAGGTAGGTGATTAGGCCTGGGGGCATTCGAACCAGTATTTAAACAGCTATTGGGAAAGTGCTGTAGGAGAGCCTTCATGGTTAGATCATCTAAGGGGAGGGGTCGTGGTGGCTTTCGTATTATTACAGCAATTTGTGAACTGCTGTCCCTGTCTCCCTTGCTCCAGGAAAAGGTCCGTGCAGTGTTTGATAATCTGATTCAGTTGGAACATCTTAACATTGTTAAGTTTCACAAGTATTGGGCTGACGTTAAAGAGAACAAGGCCAGGGTAAGATGTTTTTTTTTTTTTTTTGCCTAGTATTTCCTGAATTCTTTACCAGAGAACAGCTGTATTTACTGTCCCTTTTACATTCAGAGGCTAAAACAAGGTAATTTTGAGACAAGAACTGAAATCTTCAGCTGTGGAAGAGAAAGCAGGGCTTCATCTGCTTACTGTAGCATTTCCCAGCTAAAGATGGGGAGGAATGAGTGAACATTTACTTGCTTCTGTGTTTTAATTGTGCTGTTAAGCCTAAGAAAGTGATCCTAAAGGAAAGGGAAGTTGAACAAACACAGTTTAATATGTATCTGGTATAAATGTCACCAGGTGAGAGATAATGTCTAGATTAAAGCTTTAATAGGAAGTGCTTCACTTTCCTAGGTGATTTTCATCACAGAATACATGTCGTCTGGAAGCCTTAAGCAGTTTCTGAAGAAGACCAAAAAGAACCACAAGACTATGAATGAAAAGGTATGGAGGGAGGCTAGCTATAGTTTTAGGCTGGTTTAGGGCTTTAAAAAGATGGTGATAATTATGAAGCCAATTAAGGAGGGATGGCAAGGACTAGTGTGAAGGCTGAGAGAGGAAAGTATCACTGGGTGTGTGGTGCATTCCTTTGGTTCAGGAGTTCGAGGCCAGTGTGCTCTGCATAGTTTCAGGACAGCCAGGGCTATACAGTGAGACCCTGGAGAAGGAGGGTGGTGGGTGGAGAGGGGAGAAGGAAGAGGGAGAGAGAGGATATTACTGCGGATGCTTGGACCAAACTCTTTTCCAGGCTTGGAAACGCTGGTGCACACAGATTCTCTCTGCCCTAAGGTAAGTAATACGTGGTTGGTTTTTCCCCACTGTCTCCTGATTTATTTCCTTAAACAGATTGCAAGGCATTACTCTGCTTTTCTATTCTGCCTCTCCCCAATTTCTTTGAGTCATGTGCTGACACGATTAGTCCCCCTTATGGGGTTTTCCTCATGTCCTAACCACTACAGTGACCCTGCCTCATTCTCCTTGTGCTTTTCCTATTTAAGTCACTTGGCACAATAGAGATTCAGAGTACAGGAATTGCCATTATGGTGGCCAGGAATTGCTCCTCTTAACCCTTGGGTTCCCCCTGCCCTTAATTTCCTAGTGGCCCCTCTAACAGCCCAGTGCCCCCACAGCTACCTGCACTCCTGTGACCCTCCCATCATCCATGGGAACCTGACCTGTGACACCATCTTCATCCAGCACAACGGACTCATCAAGATTGGCTCTGGTGAGGGGAGGGAGAGATTCTGGGCAGGGGAGCCTCGGGAATTTGGGAACCATGGGGGTAAGGTAAAAGGCGTGGGGAGAATAGTGAATTTTGAGGTGTGGGCTGGTGATAAGAGATAGACTTTTTGTAGAAGTAATTCATAGGGAGAGACCAATTAGTGGAAATGGGGTAGGGTATATAATCTTGTACTTCTTGGAGAGAAACTTGGACTAATACAGAGAAATAGGAGGCTGGGAAAGGGCAAGAGATGGATATGAGGTCTGACTTGAGCCCTTTGGGCCAAACCCTACCAAAGAGGTTCCAGACTGTGCCTGCTGTGAGTGCTTTCATTTGCTGTATATTTGTGTGCAGTGACATTTCCGTGTGCTGTGTTTGTGTGTTGTTACCATTTGTCTGGGGCTTGGCTGCTCCATCGCTCACAACTTTTCTCTGTTTTCCTCCCTCCCGCTTACGGGCTGCTCTGTTCCCAACAGTCTTTCATAGGATTTTTGCTAATGGTGAGAGCTCCCTCTGCCCCACTTGGGGCTCTGTTTGTGCTCCCTTTGCTCCCTCTGCGGCTGCCCAGTGCATGCAGTCGTGGGAGCAAGGCCTGTTCCCTGCTTCCCGTGTCTAATTATGCCTGCTAAGCTTTTGCCCTGCCAGCCTCCACCTGCTTGTCCCTTTATAACCTGCTTGTTTCCTGTGGATTCTGCCTGGCTGGACACTTCCTCTTAATCATCTTCCCCTCATCATCCGGCTGGCTCCCTAAATCATTCTGTGCGCCTAGATTCTCTGTGACTTGTAGCCATTGTTACGATCAGAGTGAGTCCAGCTTCGGCCTGGCCCTGGTACCTCGTTCAGTCCTGTGGTAGGTGATTTTGAGGAATAAGAGTCTTCTAAAGTTTTGGTGGATTAAAAGTGAAACTGATTTCAGGATATTGGTTCACTGAGTTTGAGTTAACACAGATGGGTAAGGAAGAGGCTAGCTCCTTGGTTGTATGTTAATGCTGCTTTGCCTTTCTTATCCAGGTTCATAAGGTCTTTAGTTGTCCCATAGTTGGAAGGGCTGCCTGTGTTTTTATATTAATTGCAGGGCAGATGAATCAAATAAACCTAGCATTTTTATGGCCTATGGATTTGGTAGATCTGTGACTTTGGAAAGATGAGCAGGTCACAAATGAAAGCTTTTCCTTTGCTGTGCTACATGATGAGCCTGAAGCCTCATTGTCTGTCTGTACAGTGTGTAGACTCTGTTGTTTCTGAGTTAGGAACCTTAGGCTGCAGAAAGGGGAGATAGGTGGTGTTCTTATGTAATCTCTAGCTCAAGATTGGGAGACTGGTAGGTTTGTGTCCACTGAGTATTAGAAAACACACTTCAGGAGAAACATGGCTTTTGCAGCCTCTCTCTAGAGTAAGGTCATGCTTTGGTGGTGGTCAGATTGTGGGTGTTTCCCTACTTGTAGTGGCTCCTGATACTATCAACAACCATGTGAAGACTTGCCGGGAAGAACAGAAGAACCTACATTTCTTTGCACCAGAGTATGGAGGTGAGTAGTTTTGCCTTTCTGCCGTGTTCTCAGACCCTGTTTGTTTGTTTTTTTTTAAATTACGGTCCCTCGGACAGATTGTGCCACTTCACCTACACCCTCCCTGATAGAGTGACCTCAGATCTTGGTTTATATTTTATAACCTGAGATACAGGGATAATAGAACCACAACTTCATCTTTCTGTACTTGCATACATTTTTTCAAAGAGGTATTTATTTATTATGAATATAGTGTTCTGCCTGCATGTATTCCTGCAGGCCAGAAGAGGGCACCAGATCTCATTACAGATGATTGTGAGCCACCATGTGGTTGCTGGGAAGTGAACTGAGGACCTCTAGAAGAACAGCCAGTGCTCTTAACCTCTGAGCCATCTCTCCAGCCCCACCCACTTGGCCACTTCTTATCCAATCAATTCTCTTTCTTACTAAGACATTTGTTTTCTTTAGAAGTCACTAATGTGACAACAGCTGTGGATATCTACTCCTTTGGCATGTGTGCACTGGAGGTAAGGAGACCCAAGGGAAGGGAAAAGAGAAAGCGTGGAATTCGAACACAGACAGGGAAATGCTGGGAGTGACTGTGGGAGCACTGGGTGTGTTCCTCAGATCTCAGCTTTCCCTTGGGTTCCTCAATGCAGATGGCAGTGCTGGAGATTCAGGGCAATGGAGAGTCCTCATATGTGCCACAGGAAGCCATCAGCAGTGCCATCCAGCTACTAGAAGACCCACTACAGAGGGTAAGAGTCGTTGGGATCAATCTCCATCCTTAAGTGACTTTCAAATGCTTTCAAGTTTATTGTACTTCTTGGGAATATGTTCCAAGAGAAAAGAAATACAATCAAAATAGAAAACACTAAACACAATTTTCCTGTGAAGGGGTTCAGATAGGTAATAATATTAAGGTTAAAAATAATGTCTTAGTTAAGTATGTCTACATACAGATGAGCTGATTTTGATGGTTACCTTAGTCAGTTGCTACACACTCTTCCACAATAATCTTGGCATTCCAAAGTAAATTTAAATATCAAACCAGTCATTTTGGATTTTATATTTAATGAGCTAAGATTTAAAGGATGAAAGAGCTGGGTGGTGGTTGCGCACACCTTTAATCCCAGCACTTGGGAGGCAGAGGCAGGTGGATGTCTATGAGTTCGAGCCTGGTCTGGTCTATAAGAGCTAGTTCCAGGACAGGCTCTAAGGCTACGGAGAAACCTTGTCTCGAAAAACAAAACAACAACAAAAAAAATAAAGGATGAAAGAATTATGAATCAGTAGGTAGATTAACTATAGTGAGACAGGACAGTCTGAACAAGAACAATTAGGTCAGGCATGGAGGCATACACCTATAATCCCAACACTTGGGAGGTGGAGGTAGAAAGATCAGGGGTTCAAGGTCAACCCTCCTCTACATAGAGCATTCAAGGCCAACCTGGGCTACCTTAGACCCTGTCTCAAAAACAAAATGACAGCCAGGAGGTGGTGGTGCACATTCATAATCCCAGCACTCAGGATGCAGAGGCAGGCCTGGGAACAAAGGGAATTTCAGGACAACCAGAACTACACACAGGGAAACCCTGTCTCTGAAACCCAAAACAAAACCAAACAAACAAACAAAAAGCAAGGAAGGAACATTAACAGTTAATTAGGGACAGTAATGGGGGGCAAGAAAGAAGCAGAGATCTAGTCGAAGAGTTAATAGGATGGAGTCAGGGTCTGGTTCACATTAGGATGGGTTGTTGGATAAAAGATCACAGGTATGTGACTTTTTACAACTGAAAATTAGAAAGTATGATGCCATAGGATTTGATCAAACGCAGAAAAGGTGAAGTGGTTAGAGAAAGCATGGGAATATGGTGAATTCAGGAATTTAGTGGATAAAGGAAGTGTGGTAATAAATAGTCTTAGAAAACAGAATATGGTGAATACTGAATAATACTTTGCTAAGTTTGGGAAGGGAAAAACTAAATTTGGCAAAGATCCAAAAATGTTGGCCATGAATGAACTACTAACACACACACAAATACTAAGTCTCAATATTAAAAAAAAAGGTATTGTGGTTGTAGAGTGGAAAAGAAATAACCAAAGCTAGCATGGTGGCTCATGCCTGTAATCCTAGCACTTCAAAGGCTGAGACAGGAGAATTGTGAGTTCAAAGGCAACCTGGACTATATAGCAAGTTCCAGGCTAGTTTAAGCCACCTAAAGAGACCCTGTCTCAGAAAAATGAAGTCTAAAAAGAAAAGCCAGGAAGATAGTGAATGATAATTTTACACATTACATATGTATTTAAAGCCCTTTCAAGAGATGGGTCAGTGCTTCCCCAACAAGTGTTGCCTTCAAGCATGTATATTTACAGGCTGTGAGAGGCTTGCTAGATGCCTGCTTTAGTCCCTTGTTCTCTTATAGGAGTTTATTCAAAAGTGCCTGCAGTCTGAGCCTGCTCGAAGACCAACAGCCAGAGAACTTCTGTTCCACCCAGCACTGTTTGAAGTGCCCTCACTCAAACTCCTTGCTGCTCACTGTATTGTGGGACACCAACGTGAGTTTTCTGAACCCTGTTAGAAATTGGTAGTGGGACTGAATCCATGCTAAACAAAGATTACTAGGATTTTCTTCCAATTTGGGGCTTCCATCACTGGCATGGCATCTTTATTCTGTTACCAAAGGGATTCTTTACCCCTGTGCCTCTAAGCCTCCTGTGAACCAATTCTATCTTTACATAATGTTCCACCCCATTATACCCACCAGACATGATCCCAGAGAACGCTCTAGAGGAGATCACCAAAAACATGGATACCAGTGCTGTACTAGCGGAAATCCCTGCTGGGCCAGGACGAGAACCAGTTCAGACTTTGTGAGTACCCAGCTGAGAGGGTCTGAAAGGGATGGATTGATCCCTACCACTCTGAGGTTCTGTAAAATGTTCATTCTCGTGCTCTTTTTCCTCCTCCTTCTAGGTACTCTCAGTCACCAGCCCTGGAATTAGACAAATTTCTTGAAGATGTCAGGTGAGAAGGTGGGCTTCTGTGAGGAAGCAGGGGCAGGTTCCTGCGGTTTTCAAAGAGTCCGTGTGACTTACGTCATCTCCCACCAGGAATGGGATCTACCCTCTGACAGCCTTTGGGCTACCTCGGCCACAGCAGCCACAGCAGGAGGAGGTGACATCGCCTGTTGTGCCCCCTTCTGTCAAGACTCCAACTCCTGAGCCAGCTGAGGTGGAGACACGCAAGGTGGGGACTCTGGTGTGACTGCGGCTTTGGCTATGGGGGCGGACATCTCAACTACGGCGCTGTCCTATATGGAGTGCATTTCTGCCCCCTGGCCACCTGGTTCTTCTGTGGGGTGGAAAGGCTTCCAGGTGTCTGAGGGTTTAGTGACTGGTCTCTAGTGGCCGTCCTCTCTGTACTGTTCCAGGTGGTGCTGATGCAGTGCAACATCGAATCAGTGGAGGAGGGAGTCAAACATCATGTAAGCTCAGGGCGGGGGCTGACGGGTCTGCGCAGGGCAGCACTGGATGGAGAAGAGCAGCCTCATTCTCCGTTCTTTTCTCTAGCTAACACTTCTGCTGAAGCTGGAGGACAAGCTGAACCGGCACCTGAGCTGTGACCTGATGCCAAGTGAGGGTCTCCTTTGTTTTGGAGGAGGATACTTTGAGGGGCATGTCAGGGAGAGGGAAAGTGACTCAGAGCATGACTCCTAGCTTCTGAAACAGCTAAAGGGCTCCCGTACTGGACTCATTCACCCTCCTATCTTTCTGTCAGATGAGAACATCCCGGACTTGGCAGCTGAGCTGGTGCAGCTGGGCTTCATTAGTGAGGTGAGGTTCCTGCCCTCTGTGCCCTGGCTGCCTCCCCACCGTCTGTCAGCCTTGTCTCACTGACCTTCTTCTTCAGGCTGATCAGAGCCGCCTGACTTCTCTGCTCGAGGAGACCCTCAACAAGTTCAATTTTGCCAGGAACAGCACCCTCAACTCAGCCGCTGTCACCGTCTCCTCATAGAGCTCACTTGAGCCAGGCCCCTATCTGAGTGTGGCTGTCTCTGGACATGCTGCAGTCCTCCTGTCCCTTCTCCCCAGTCAGTATTACCCTGTGAAGCCCCGTCTCCCCTTATTATTCAGGAGGGCTTTAGGGGCTCCCTGGTTGAGCATCATCCTGCCCCTACCCCTCTCTTCCTCCCCTCTGCACTTTGTTTACTTGTTTTGCACAGACGTGGGCCTGGGCCTTCTCAGCAGCCACCTTCTAGCTGGAGCTAGTAGCTGACCTGCTGGCTCCTGCCCTGCCTGTGTGGACAGGAGGCCCACGGGCACTGGGGGAGCAGAGTTCTACAATCCCGCTGGGGCGGATGGGCGGGAGAGAAAGGTGGTGCTGCAGGGGTGGCCCCGGGGGCCATTCGAATCGCCTCAGTTGCTGCTGTAATAAAGTCTACTTTTTGCTAAAAGCGTGGCTTGCTGTTTTGCGGCTCATTGGGTGGCACAGCTGCCCAGGTGGGGGCGGGGCAGCCCCAGGTGGGGCGGCCCCTTGGAGGCTGGGCCTCAGGTCGGGGACGGGGCGGGCCCAGGTGGAGTTGCCTTGCGGCGGCGCGGAAGCTGGGGTTCTGCTCGGCGGCGGGGCGAGGCCAGGTCCAGATAGGGCGGACCGGTGGTGGCGGGGGCAGAGCGGCCCACGATGAGGTGCTGCCGCCTCTGCGTCTTCGGTAAGTTGCCTGGCTTTCCTCACCTGTAGTTTCTCGGCGTCCCACGCGCCGCGGCTGGCCCTGTGGCCCCGCCCTGCACGGCTAATATCTGCCCTTCCCCCTACTTTTCAGACGCCGCCCGGGGGCCCAGGCGGCTGATGCGCGTGGGCCTCGCTCTGATCCTGGTGGGCCACGTGAACCTTTTGGTGGGCGCTGTGCTGCATGGTACTGTCCTGCGGCACGTGGCCAACCCCCGTGGCGCGGTCACACCGGAATACACTACGGCCAATGTCATCTCGGTGGGCTCGGGGCTGCTGGTGAGCGTGACTGGCGGATGGATGGGCAAGCGGGGTGGGCTGGGCGCAGAGAGACAGTGAACCTTAGGCTTGTTGCTTCCGCAGAGCGTTTCCGTGGGACTTGTGGCCCTCTTGGCATCCAGGAACCTTCTTCGTCCACGACTGGTGAGAGGGGTGGAGGTGTCTCAGCTCAGACTTCCAATGGGCAGGAGCCTCAAATAGAAACTCAGATTTTTAAATCACGGGGAAACATAACTAGGCTGTTCACCCCGGTCTTCTACCCCACTAGCACTGGGCCCTGCTGACGCTGGCCTTAGTGAATCTGCTTGTATCTGCTGCTTGCTCCATGGGCCTCCTCCTTGCTGTGTCGCTCACTGTTGCCAATGGTGGCCGCCGCCTTATTGCTGACTGCCATCCAGGACTGCTGGATCCCTCCATACCACTGGACCAGGGGCCTGGACACACTGATTGCCCCTTTGATCCCACAAGAATTTATGTGAGTGGATTCTTGGTGTTCTCTGGGCTTCACCTTTGCCCCGTGTGCTGCTCCTCCCCCTTCCAAGGCCTAGTCCTCTTTGTCACTTCTGGTTTTAGGATACAGCCTTGGCTCTCTGGATCCCCTCTCTGTTCATGTCTGCAGGCGAGGCTGCTCTTTCTGGTTACTGTTGTGTAGCTGCACTCACCCTGCGGGGAATTGGGCCCTGCAGGAAGGAAGGGCTGCAGGAGCAGGTAAGGAAGAGAAACAGGAAGGGTTCATTCCACACCCTGGTTGTGTTGAAAGGTGTGTCTCTTAAGGCCCAGTTACTGAACCCACCCTCTCCTGCAGCTGGAGGAACTGACCGACCTTGAACTTTCTGAGTGTAAAAGGCCGGAAAATGTGCAGCTACTCCACCACCCTCAGGATTTCCAGACTAAACAGAAAACCTGGGTTTAGAACAGGTAAAAGGCCCCCGGGGTGGGATGCATTCTTGGGACTGGGACCAGTTAGTTTTTGTTGTTGTTGTTGTTGTTTTGCTATATTGCTTGTTCTCTGATGCAGGTCTGCTCTTTCTTTAGCAAGCAGCTGCTCTTCCGAGGCGTAATCCACAGGTGTTTTCTACTACGCAAGGGGCCCTGACCCGAGGGTGATATAAATAATTGTAATAAAAGGACTAGTTTTTGTTTTCTGTCTGATTACAATTACTTTTGGAGCCCAGCGCACTGTGCTGGGTGGAGAGGTGTTGATCAAAGAATGCGGCAGTCTCAACCACTTACAGGGCTTTAATGTGGGACAGAGCTAACCGCCTCAGCTGTACCAGTCACTGGAAAGAAAAGCTGGTGCTGGGGAGCCCACCACACCATTGGCTGATGAATTTGAGTACGTCCTGGCACACTGGGCTGTGGGAGGTCTGTGGGCAAAGGGGAGAACATGAGAGGGACTCCTTGGAGCTCCTGGGTGTCCTAAGGATCAGGCACAGGGTCTGGTTCTGCCTTTCGGACAATCCTACTTGGGGTGCCTCCCACCCCACCCCATTCCCAGCTGTTGTCCTTTACGACTGACTCCCTTTCTCACCTTGATGGCCATAAGAAACTTGTTCCAGTTGTCTTTGTTAGCAGCCTTCCCTGGCCGCTTAAATTCAATTTTGTTCCTCAGAATGGGGTAACCTGTGGTGGAGGACGAGATGGTGATGGGATTGGTGAGGACTGGGAAGGATGGGAGTAGAGTGGGATGGGTGGTCCTGTCTTGGAAATGGATTTTGATGCTTTTCCCTCCTTTCTACTTGCCACGGGATATGGGGTAACGTGGGGTTCCATACCTGTAATGAGGCAGGGCAGGGCCCGAACCCCAGTGCTCGCTGCTACCAGGGAAGCCTCATAGACTCCACGCTCATCCCGGGGCAGAACCTGCTCCAGCCTCTGATCCATTGAGACTGTGAGCACCCAGTCTCGAACCTCTTCTCTCTGGGCCTCCTGGGAAAGAGAGGTAGCATTAGCTTCACATGGGGCTGGGAGGCTTGGGGGGTGAGGACAGGGCTGAGCCCTTAGCCTGTACATCGGCTTTTAGCTATAAGTAGTCCACCATGGAACTGCTTCTGCTTCCCCCGAGTAACAGTAAGGGCTGATGTCACTGAAAAATAGCATCCCAAAGCCATCAACCCTTCTCGGTGCCGACCCACTGGTGACACCTTACCGGTACATGCTGCTTGGCCGGGAGTGGCACCTCAAAGGGGATGTCTGTGTCCTGGAAATCTGAGTGGTCAAGAGCGTCCAGAGTCCCTTCCTCAATTGCCTGTGGCAGAGCAGTCACCATGAGATCCGCACAGCTGGTGACGGGCAAAGGCCCCAGTCTCTAGGCACAGTTTCCCTACTTACGTCAGTCAGATCCAAAAATCGGTTGAGGAAAATGAAAGCCATGTTTTCCCAGCCAACTTCCTGTCACAGGAAAGGTGCAGATGGGTGTGAGGTTGGGGTCAGGGAGAACGCTCCAGAAGAGGCAGGCTGTGTCCTCCTCCACATCCGCCCCTTACTCGGCTGTGCTCAAGGCAGTCTCCACCCTTCCCTGCCCCAGCTCACCTTGGCAGCAGTGCCTGCTTCATAGAAGGCCTTGTCTGCAGGTAACAGCTGGGTGTGGCGCAGGAGTGAGATGGAGAGCCTGGCAGCTACGGTTTCCTGTGGATTAAACAGTTTATGATCCCGGCCCTGTGGCGATTGAGCTACCAGAGCAATGAGCCTGTAACTAAGCCAGCCATGGAGCTAGACAACCAGCAATCAGTTCTGAACCCTCTCCATCTCAGGCTGTTCCGGTCTTAGTTCTTTTCATCAGCATTACATGCCCAGCTCAGGTTATATATAGGGCTGTTTCTACTTCTAGAATTTGACCACGTACATGAAATGTAAGCACAGTTGTAACTAAATAAGCCAAAGTGTGTGTACTTCTAGGTGGTACATAAAACTAATATGCTATCTGAATGTTTCAACATAATGAGACTGGTAGAGCTGTGGGCACAGCCCTCTGGCCAGACAGTCTGGGAAGAAACCCCATCTCAGCAAGTGTTGGAGTGGCTAGAAGAGACATGCAGAGGGAATTGTGGTCAAAGACCTAAGCTCAAAGACCCAGAACTTGGATGTGTTTGGCTCCTGAGGTCTGAAGGTGCATCCTTGTGACCGAGCGCTCTGTGCTGAATCTCTCTGGTTGCATCTTACCAGCTGTTTAATACTCTGGGCCGCAGATCGTGTAGCGTAGTAATGAGCAATCAGCAGCATCATCTCAAACTCCTCGTGAGCTGCTGAGTTTGCTTCGCTGGACTTCACCAGATTTTCACACTAGAAAAGGGGGTGTGGGGGGAAGCACAGCTAGGCTCGGGTCAGTGGAGGGCCAAGGAGAACTGTAGAGTGGCCACTGCTGGCCATTTGCACTGAGAAGGTAAAGGTTTATGTCTACTAAGGAGAATAGAACAGAAGGAACTTTGACCCATTGTTGACCCTTGCTTACCAAGTTAAAGAGGACATCCCGAAGATCAGCCCAGCTATGGTAGGCCTCGGCATTGTTGGTCCCAGGAGAGCTAACCATGTCAGTGAAGATCCTTTTGTAGATGTTGAAGTTCTAGAGGTCGAGGGGAAGGGGACCTGAGTGAGGGACCTGAGTGTTTAGGAGCTAAGAAACTGATGAAGGAAGAAGAGGCCCAAGGAAAAACTGAGTTTGGCAGGAGGGCCAGGATTTCAAGGTTATCCTAGGCTTCATAGTTCCAGGCTAGCCTTGCCTACATGAGTTCCTGACTCAGAAAAGAGACAAAACTCACAACAAAAAACCCTATCATATTAGCTGGTGTTCAGTGAGTGTGGGTGATTAACGATGTTAAGGCTTACAGTGTAGAAATTCTTGATTCTCCGTAGAACTGTCAGTTCTAGAGGAAGTCAGTAAGGACCCTTGAGGGTATCCACGATTCCTCTTGGACAGACAGGTCTGTGTGTGTTTACTAAGAACATGGACAGCTGCCTGGGTGTTTTCTTTCCAAGGGTAAATCCTCCAGAGGGTCCGTTTCAGCTCAGGATTCTCTGAGACAAATGAAGGGATGGTTCTAGAGGATGAAGAAACATTCATCCCAAGAAGGCTGGTACCTGTGGGTTAGCAGGGGCTCCGTGCTGCACATAGAGGGCCAGTGCCTGGGCATAGCCACCCTCTCGGATCAGATGAGTTGCATACAGAGCCACGTACTTGTGCAGAATCTTGTAGTTCTGTTTGGGAGTGGAGGGACAGCACGGAAAAGGCCGGGTCAGCAAGGACAGGCAGTGACAAGAGACCACGGGTTTGTTTGGGAGGTAAAGGGCACTTGAGGATTCTGATCTCAGAATCAGAGGACAGAAGACAGCTCTCTGGTGCTCACTAGGGGCCGCTGCAGATTGGGCATTGGAGTTAAGGGGTGGGATGCTCAGAAGCAGGTAGGGAATCAAGAAGAGGTGGGTGGGAATGGGAGGGCCAGCAGTACCTGCTTGGTAGCTGTTTCAATGCACTTGTCCCACTGACCCTGCTCCACGTACAGGTCCAAGGCAGCTACTACGTCCACACCCACCAGCTGTGGAGCAGTAAAGACAGATGTGCTGAGAGGAGAAGGGAGGATCTCTAGTACCTCTTCAGGAATTTGGCTTTTACTCTTGTTCTGGTGGTGCTGGGGAACCCAGGCCTTACACATGGGAGGCAAGAGCTCAACCACCTAGTTAGCCCTTCTGGCCTCTTCCTGCTTTCTCCCTCCTAACACTGAGAGCTTTACCGAATCCACTTTGCCCTGGTTCTTGAGGAACTCCTTATAGTGCTGGTCCACATAGTCTTCATACCTGGGAAGATACACAGAGATTGCTAACTCTATGGTCATGTAACACCACACCCTTGCCATAAGAAATCTTCCTCAGTGTTTACAAAAGGAACTAAGAATCTCCTGGCGATTACCGCGGGTCTAACTCTTTGGCTACCCGTTTGGCCTTGTTCCATTCTTCACCCTCGATGAAAGCATCGATTGCTTCTTTGACAAGGTCCAGGTTCAGATAGAGTTCTGCAGCCTGCACAGAGGGAAATCTGAGTGAAAGCTATGTTTCCATCTGACTCAGTGGCCTCCCACTTGGTGAACTCTCTCCCCAGAACACTGGCGCACTTGCAAAGGGCCCACCCCACACATCTGGATCACGTGTCACCCCCTATCCCGTGTACATGGGAGTGTGCCGGTCCTAGCACCCTACTTACCGCACTGTGCTTTCCAATTCCAATCAGCTGGGGACCTACAACCCGAACTACTTCCAGACTGCGCTGGGGAGGCAGAAATTTGATGGACAGTTCCGCCGCCTGAGTGGTCGAACAGAAGGTAGAAATGGGGAGAAGAAAGAGTCTACTAGGGTTATTGGCCTTCGTGTTTTCCTCCTCCAGCTTCCAACATTCTTGTGATCCTTCCTCATCTTCCACCCTCCCAGGCTAAGCCTGGCCCACAGGTCTTCTGTGTGACCCCAGAGAACCTATCATGTTCCTCTCGGGTCGCTGCAACTCTGCACACTTCATTTGTTGTACGCGCTCACTGCACTTTGTCACAGATAGAATCTTGATAGCATAGTATAGAGAAAACCGAAATGAGAATTGTCGGGAACCTGGCAACTGTTTGTGAGTCTCAGATTATCCATGCTCACTGGAGTTTGAAAATAGAACAAAAAAGGAATGGCAAATACCAATAATATTAAGTTCAATGGATATTATATTGAAATGCCAATATTTTAAAATTTTGCTCATTTTTTAAAAAGATTTATTTATTATGTGTACAGTGTTTCTATACTGCATATATGCCAACAGGACAGAAGAGGGGACCACAGTGCATTACAGATGGTTATGAACCATCATATGGTTGCTGGAAATTGAACTCAAGACCTCTGGAGGAGCGGCTAGTGCTCTTACCCTCTGAGCCATCTCTCCAGCCCCAATTTTGCTCATTTTTATGTGTATGGGCATTTTGCATGCATTTTTCCCTGTTTCTGATGCCATGGAGACTAGAAGAGGGCATTGGATTCTCGGGAACTAGAGTTTTAGATGGTTGTGAGCTGCCATGTGGTTGATGGGGACATAACCTGAGTCCTCTGGAAGAAAAGCAACTGCTCTAAACCATTAAGCTATCTCTCCAGTCAACGTTTAAATGTTCAATTAGGTGTATTACATTTTTTTAAATTCTCTCTTTTTTTTTAACCTTATTCAAGAACAGGTATGAGAAAACTGCAATAACATTGTAGCTTGCATAGCGTTTTCAGCAGATAGTGCTAGTCTGGATGATCTGACGGCAGTTTAACTCTCTGTTTCCACTGGGATGCTGACATCCTCACTGATTTGAATTTCCATGAGACCCAGTTTGGCTATTATCTAGACCAATTCCCCTGTCCTTTCCCTTTCCTTTCTTGCCCTGCCAAACCCTGTAAGCAAGGCTTAAAAAAGCATGCCTTCTCCCCATCGATAGAGCCATCCTGTGACCAACCTGAAGGGACAGCCCTGCACAGACTTTAGTGAACGGTGTAAAGGCATCGGGTGCTCAAACCTCACAACCAAACAGCCCCTTTACTTCCTGTTTCACCTTCTGGGACCTATTCAGTGACCCCAGAACTTAAGGACATCTTGCATGGGCATCAACATAACAGTATTATTTAGAGAGCCAGGAACCCCCTTAGTCCCTCAGGACTCCCAATCCCGTATTTCCCTGTACCCATTCAAACTATGTATTGCATGTCTAATTACAAAGATAACAGGGTTGGCTTATCAGTTTTGCATGATGACTGCACAGTATGTAGGCATTGTTCAAACAGAACTTTGGGTGTTTTTGTAGGCTGTACTTGGATGAGGTTAACATTTAAATTGTAAAGCAGATTGGCCTTTCTAATATAGATGGGCTTCATCCAATCAGCTGAAAGCTTGAATTGAACAAAAGGCTTACTTTACCCCGAGTAAAGGAAAACTCTTCCTGCCCAAATGTCTGAACTGGGACACTGGCTTTTTCCTGCTCTCACTCTGGAACTGAAATGCTGACTCTTCTTGGATCTCCAGCCTGCCAGCCTTCAGATAGGAACTACAGCACTTTCTCTCCTGGCCTTCCTGCTTGTCAGGCTCCATGCAGATCTTAGGACTTGCCCACTCCGATAACTCCGTGCGTCAGTTCCTTATCTCAGACATATGCTCACATGTATCAGTTCTGTTTCTCTGACCAATAGTTTGTCTTCAGCTTGGTGAAGAGTATTAGGCTGGCTCAGTCTGCTGAAGGGGAGCTGTCAGGTTGGGGTGCTGGAGGAGGAGCCATGCTTTCGTCCTGGCCTTCAACTATGCCCTGGGGTCTGGAGTTGTCCTTTCCGCTCCCATTCAAGTCCTTCCTTCCTTAGAGAACCTTCTGAACTACTCCAGCCCCCACAAAGCACTTGTCTTGAACTCCACTTCATACACCTCAGTCTTTGCTCAGATCTGGTAGTAATTAAGTCTCCTAACTTCTGGCTGGGGTGTCTATCTTACATCCCTTCTAGTCTTCAGCTGCGGGGCTCTAGTACAATAGCAGGCACCCAGGAGATATCTGTTACTTGAGATAGAGACACAGGAGGATGGAGATGAACGTTTGTGCAGGAAGCTGACGGGAACGGACCTGCGGGAACCGGAGCCTCACCTTCATCCAGCACTTCTCCATCAGGCCGCCACTCCCTGAGTCTCGAACTTTGAGGTAGCAGTCCACTGCACGGCCATACTCTCCAGCCTGTTCCCACTGTCGTGCTTGCTCTACAAGTCCCTCCACACCTCTGTGGGATGTGAATATTTAATGCTCAGGATTGGGCAGGGGCAGTGTGGTCCAACCCACCCGGTCCTGACAACACTGCCAGGACGCATGGCTTCTCACCTTCCCCCCTTCTTGGTGGCTTCTCGCTCATACTCTTCCTGCAGGGCCTCTAGCTGGCCAGGCACATAGTCCTTGCAGATCCGCAGAGCATCGCTCCAGAGCCCAGCCTCCTGCTCAGATTTGCAGGTATCAGAAGGGCAGAGGTGGGAGCCCTGAGGCTTCCTCTGGCTGGGTTCCTGACTTCTTAGCCTTTCTCCTCCCTTTTCTTGCCTGTCCTTTCTCTCTCCTGCCCTCTTCATCACCAGGAATCAGTATAGATCTGTGGCCTCTCACTATCTCATTCTCCCTTTGTGGCACAAATAAAATGGCTCACCTTATAATAATTGAGAGCCAGACCTGGTCTCTGGGCCCGAAGCAGCAACCCTTCTGCCTTCTGAAAGTCCTTCTCCTCCAAGGCCCCACGGGCCTGACCTACCAGTACCTCAGCGACACTGTCAGGATCATGGGCCTCAGCCACACGCTGAGCTGCCTCCCAATCCTGGTTGTGGACAAACCTGCCCAAAATGGGGGACACAGAAGACGTTGAGTACAGGACTGAAGCCTCAGTAGTGGAAGACAGACAGCTGTACAATTGAGGGGCTATTGGTGTCATTTGTGCGAGCTTTGGAAGTAAAGTTGACCATGAAAGATACTGGGACAGTATCTTTATCCTATTCCAGAGCAGGACCAAACAGCGGGGGCTGGGGAGATGGCTTAGTGGGTAAAGGTACTTGCCACAAAACTCATGAACTGAGTTCAAATTCTGGAGCCCACATGGTAGAAGAAGAAAACCAACTCCTGCAACTTGTCCTCTGACCGCTACACATGTGCTGTGCATGCATTCCATACCCATAAGTAAACAGAAACAGTGTGGGGAAACTCACATGAGGACTGCCTCTTTGGGTTTACCAGCTCTGATGAATTCTGCTTCAGCCTCTTCAAATTTGCCCTAGACAGAAAGATAGTCACATATAGTGAGAAGGAGCCTGGCATCACAGTCACTTAGAAGACAGGATTGAACTGGTCACAGAGGTTAGCAGTATAGGGGGAACTAAATTACATTCATACCTCATCCTCCAGATACATGGCATATCTGAGATGAATCTCTGGGGTCTTGTGCTTGAGGGCTAGCCGAGAGAGCTCAAAGGCAAATTCAAAGGAGCTGAAATGGAAGGTGTAGACCGAGTTTGTGTATAATACTTACAGAAGGGAGAGGAAATAGAGAAAAGACAACCACCCCTTCTCCTGACTACTATGGAGTCCCAGCCTGTGACTCTGCTCCCAGCTTTGTGACATTTGTTAAGAAATACAGACACTTGCATGGATCAAGTGTGTGTGCTGCAGTAGTTAACCCCCTCCCACGTCCACACAGGCAAGTCTGATTTACAGTGGCTCACAAGCAGACAAAAGACATCACAGTAGCAGGGAGATTAGCTGGGGGCTAGCAGAAATGAGAGGATAGGACAGGGTAATTGAGGGGGTATGACCACAATGCATTGTATATATTTATGAAACTGTCTAAGATAAAAGAGAAAAATTTGCATTTTTCATTTAACAGAAGTATACTTTGATGACCCAGAAATGTTACTTAGTATGGTTCTAACTTTTCATGCTGTTCCTGCCCCACCTGTCTCTCTAGAAC